ATCGCAGGTGCTCGTCTCTAGCCCTGGTATGGATATCTGCGCATGGACGTGCGTGCCTTCGTACTCTGCAAAGCCAACCATGTCGCGCATGACGACGATGAACTTGAGCGTGTTGGAGGGAGCTTGCGCAGTCGAAGGCTCCAGGCTCAGCCGGATGATGCCCACGACGCTGTGTGTGTATGGCGAGATGACTTCAACCGCGGAGTCCTGGACGGTCGACCTGTACACGGCGGAGAGGGGTATCCTTGCCTCGCCGATGACCGAGAACTGCTGCTGTGACAGAGTTTCGCCAAACGTGTTCTCGAGGCCGAAGTGTCTGATATAGTCGGGCCGGTCGATGTATTGGTGCATGCGCCGCATCATGTGAATGCGCTTGGTAAGCTTCTCCAGGCTCCAGATGTAGATGACGGACTTGGCGAAGTCGATCACTCGCACCGCAACGCATGGTTTCCTCGCGTCTTCCAGCCCCGGATCAACCTCGCCTGGCAGACCGCCACGTGCGAGGTCGTAGGCCGACACGCCGACCTGACTGGACTCAACGATGGTGAACTGGAAATTGACGTGCTTGTCCATGATGACGCCCATGACCTGCGCTTCCTTGAGCAGGCTGGCCTTCTTGAGGACGGTCTCGGCCATGTGCACGTAGTTCCTCGCCCTCCATTTCCGAATGGCACCTTTGGCGGTAGCGATCTCCTGCTGTTCCAGCGGCCGGTAGATGAGCGGCAAGATCTGCTCAGGGGGCATGTCCTTCATCTGCTCTTCGAACGTCACACGCTGCCGCTGCAATTCCCGCTGTGCCGCCTCGAGTTCCTCGGCCATCCTGAGCTTCTCCGCCAACAGCTCCTGCACGTCCTGGTGAACGCATGGCGCGTCATCGTCGTCGGTGCAGTCCCCTGTGCCAGCTCGTGCTGCTGCTGCGATATGCGGCTGTGCATTGTCGAGGCTCGTCCGGTTTCCGGGCTTTCGTTCGTGAACGCTGGGCAAGGTAATGGCGGTGTCGAGCGAGACGTTGTCAATGGTCCCGTTGCTCATGTACTTTTCGCGCACCTGAAAGGCAGAGGAGCCCTGACTCTGGCTGTCAGAGTCCTCGCCGTCGTCGGCAGGCGTGATGGCCCGCCGCATGCTGACCTCGCTCTTGCCACTGCCACTGCCGCCGTACTCCGACCCCGAGTACGGTCCGGTCATACTACCAATCTTGCTCCTGCGGTGCGCCCTCGCCTTCTGGACGTCGTCGAACAGCGCGTCGAGCTCGAGGTCGCTGAGCTCCTTGATCATCTCGGTGCCCGTCCCCGTAGCAGCGCAGACAGCTTCCCGCCTTAGGTCGAGGTCTTTGGACATGAAGTTGCGCAGGCTGGTTGGCGACCCGACACGCGGGCTAGTCGCGCCGACTGTGGGGTCGAGGTCGAACGCCATGCTCATGGTCATGTTGAGTGACTCGGCCCGCTTGTGCCCGCGCTCTCCGAAGGTGAGATGGCCGGCGGTCATGACGTTCTTCGCGAGCGGGCTGCCGATCGTAGGGCCTGACGAAGCAATGCCCGTGGAAAGCTCCTTGTTGCCGACGTTCTGGCGGACCAGCCGCTGCTCTACGCGCTCCGCCCGGGCCTCCATGGGGTGGTTGAAGCGGAAGATGTGGAAGTCGCCGAGGATGATGCGGAAGCCACTGCGTAGGCGCTTGGGCTCGTCGATGCGCAGACCGTTGACCATGACTGCTGCTCCGGGAGACGGCACGATCGTCACCACGTTGTCGACGTGCTCGAACGTGCAGTGGTGGGGCAGGATGCGAGACCCGTCCAGGCGGATCTCGGACGGCGGCGCCGCGGCCGCCGTCGCCTTGTCTGCCGGCGTGTCGGCGTCCTCCCCACCATCTCCTGAACCCTTGCTAGTCCTCTCGCCGTGCGGCGAGCTTGTCAGTGGCGTGGGCGCGTCAACATGCCCAACGACCGTGAGGCCCGGCTTCAGGTTGTACACCAAGCACTCTGTGAGCAGAGGGTCGTCGCTGAGGTTGACGAGATGCGGGCTCTTCTTGGGCGTGCTGAGGCCAACGAAGCCCTTCTCGATGCTGATTCCGAGCTCCTCCAGCGCCTGCTCGCGCTCCTTGTGGATCTTCTCCGTCTTCTGCAGCTTCTCCTCCCACGTCTGGTTGAGGTCCGAGTATAGCTTCTCGGACTGATTGAGCTGCTCGACGATCTCGGCCTTGCTGACCTTCTTGATCGTCCCGTCGGCTGCGGTGATGGAGACCATCTGCTTCTCCATGGGCGTGTCGGGAGGGTAGTACTCGTCGGGCGGCACGCCACCAGCGGCGGCAGCTGCGGCGGAGGACGGGATCGCGCCCGCCCCCGCCGGCGCTGCGGGGCCAGCCGCCGCCCCTCCCAGCTTGCTCCGCAGCTGCGCGAGCTCCTCCTTGAGCTCGCGGATCATCCTGGCATTCGGGTCCTCGTTGACGACGGCGTGGTTCTGGATGCGCTTCGCGCTGTCGGCGTAGCGCAGGGTGCTGAGGGTCTCGTCGTAGTTGATGTCGGCGGGGGAGATGGCGGCGATCATGGCGGTCATGGAGTTGCCGCCGAGGCTGTCCTTGAGCAGCCAGGTGAGGACGGAGTCGCGGTAGGGGACCATGCTGGCGGCCTTTTTCTTGTGAACCTTGCCCGAGCTGAGGTCTGCGAGGGCGGCGATGACGCGGCCGAGGGTGGAGAGCGAGCGGTTGATCTCCGCGCCCTCTTTCAGCCGCGCGCCGGTGGCGCCGGTGCTGGTGGCGCGCTCGGAGCCGGCGAGGTCGACGAGCGAGATGCGGCTGACCTTCTCGGTGTCCATGGTGGTCTCTGCGTCGTGGCGCTTCTGCGAGACGGTGAGGGTGAAGACGGCGTGGGAGCGGCTGCTGGTCTGGTTCATGTTGGTCGCGGCGACGGTGCGGGCCTTGTTGCCCTCGTCCATGAGGTTGTCGATTTCCTGGAAGCTGCGCACGGCGAGCTTGGCGAGGTCCTCGACGTACGGCCCCGTGGAGGGGTGCTCGCGCACTTTGAGATTGCCCTTGGTGGCCGGGTTGAGCAGGTCGCGCACCTTCTCGTTGTAGATCTCGAGGTAGGACACCTCGACGGTGCAGGTGAGATGCGGGTCGCTGCGCTGCAGCTCGTCGATGCGGCGGAACATGTCCCTGCAGATGAGCGGGATGATGCCCACCTCCTCGCCGTAGCCCATCATGCTGTACGACTTGCCGGAGCCGGTCTGCCCGTACGCGAAGATGCAGTTGTTGTAGCCCTGGAAGGCATTGTCGAGCAGCGGCAGGCCCAGGTCCTGGAACAGCGCCGCCTGGCCCGCGTAGTGCGCGTCGCTCTTGTCGAAGGACCAGTAGCTGCGGTCGAAGGCGAATGCCTTCGGGCCGTCCGCGCCGTGCTGCTCCCTGCCTTTGGCGCCCTTCTTCGGGGTGCCGGCGTGCTCGGTGTTGGGCGGCGGGAGCAGGATGGTCTGGTTGTCTTTCATCTCGACGATGCGCACCGCATTGCGTTCTTTCTCTGCATCCTCGGCGTCAACTGATGTTCGTCTCGGCAGGAAGTGGGGGGGGGGGGGTATGGAAGCCAACCTCGCGCATTGAACGGGCGCACGCGCACCACGACCTTGATGTTTCCGCCGCCCGCCATCCTGACGGCGAATCCATCGACTTGGACGTCGCGTCCAGCTGCGTTCGGTCCTCCTCTAGGTCGCCGATAAGACGATGCCTACTGCGCTGAGCCAGGAGCCAGGGCAGCCGGAGCCCGAGTAGTGGCAGCCCAAGTAGTGGCAGCCCGAGTAGCGACAGCCAGCGATGGCGCAGGCAATGCCTGACTGACTGAGATCTGGACGTCGTCTCGCTGGCGTTGATCGACGGTGCAGTCTGCTACGCTGATTGGCAAGCCGCTGCGCTGCGCTCAAGACAATGACGTTGCAGGCGGCCTTGTTGCCTGGCACGGCCCTTCGGTAGAGTGTCTCAGGTTTGCGGTGGCTTTGCCGAAGCGTGCGTTCCGTGGAAGACTCTTGTTTGTCTCCGTCGATACTCGTTCTCCTTCTCCTTCTCCTTCTCCTTCTCGCAGGCTGCAAACACGAGGTGGGCGTCGCAGGTGCGGACAGTAGTGACGATTGCAGCCTGAATGTATTGTGAGCGGAGCGTCCACCGCCCAATGGCAGTGGCAGTGGCAGTGGCAGTGGCAGTGGCAGTGGCAGTGGCAGTGGCAGGGACAATGCGCTCAGGCAAGAGATGCCCGTGCGAGGGCGACTGCGGCGTCAACGGGTCAGACCAAGACCAAGAGGCAGGCCGGCGTGCTTCTTCCTGGCTTCCGGAGTCCGCGAGACTGAGGGCCCAGGCGGTAGCAGAGGAGGCCGAACAGTACTCCAAAGGCACGTGCAATCAGCGTCGTCGCAGCGAATGAGGGGGGGGGTGTCCTCCCGGCAGCGGGCAGAGGGCACCGTCACCGTCACCGTCACCGTCACCGCCACCGTCACGGCGGGATGGCAGCGCGTCGAGCCAAGAGATGTCCTGGGGACGGGACATGTGGCGCAGCAGGCATCCAGCGCGGGTTGAGACAGGGCAAGTCAGGTCAGGTCAGGCTAGGCCATGGCGGCGGTGTCCGTGTCCGTGTCCGTGTCCGTGTCCGTGCCCGTGCCCGTGCGCGTGCCCATTTCCTGACTGTCTGCACTGCGACGTCTGATGTCCGGCGTCCGACGACTGCGTCTGAGCGGCGTAGCTCGTACGGTGACGTCGGATGGAGCGCGGCACAGTCAGAGGGGCAATTGCACGGGAGTTGCAAGGGGGGGAAACTGGACTGGACTGGACAGAGCAGAACAGAACAAGAGGGACGGGATGCAAGTGTACGTCGACCAGACTTGCGCGTGCCATGTCTCTGCGTCTTGGTCAGGCTGGTCAGGCAGGTCAGGCTGCTCAGACGTCTTGTGGTGGCGGCGAATGCTCTATATCCTGTCTGGCCGTCAGCTGGCTCATGATTATGTATGCGTTCTCTGGCAAATTTTCTATCGCGGCTTTAGCTCAGTTGGGAGAGCGTTAGACTGAAGTTCAACTTCAGTTTGCAAAAACAAGTTAATCTAAAGGTCGCCTGTTCGATTCAGGCAAGCCGCATCTCTTTTTTCTTCTTCGCTGCCCGACTCAATGGCCGCTTCCTTTACGTGGAAGACGGAAGAGAGGGCTGCACTACTGTGGCAGTGGATGAGCTGGATGAGCTGGATGAATTGGGTGGGCTGGCTGGTCTGGCTGCGAGCGTGTCCATGTTCCACTGCTCGTCTGTCTCTGGTGTGTCTGCGTCTGCGTCTTGCCCCTATCCCTATCCCTGCTTCTGTCCCGATCCCCACGCGCAGCCCAACGCCCTCGCCGTCGCCGTCGCAGTCGCATTGCTCAGGGGAGGGGAGGCGATTGGGCAGGGCAGGGCGACGAGCCTGATTCGACTGGGCTGAGCCTCCAGCGCAGCCAATGCTATTGCTCATGCTCATGCTCATGCGATTGCGATTGCGACGAGCACGCCAGCTCAGTCCATCACTCCTGAGGCCTGAGACCTGAGGCCTGAGGTGACGCCGCGACGGTGCCGTGACCGTTGATCCTCCTGTCCAACGTCCGCCGTCCATCGTCCATCGATCGCCTGACAACCAACACCACATCATATCGCATCACCGTCGCATCGCACCATATCGCACCGATAGCACCACCACCACCACCCCCGTCGAGGCAAGGG